TGTTATTAATTTGGTGTTAAAATACATTATTTTTTGGTGCATCTTAGTTTGAGGCTTCATAAATGATAACCGTATCGTCTAAAAACCCTAACACTGTACTTCCCGAATCTGTTGAGAATAAAACGATGTTGAATAAAACGATGTTGAATAAAATGTCCCTGCGGGATACCGTAGATAACGTTTTGTTATTCACTTGTTATATTATCAATTTGACCATTGCTTTTGCCATCTCAAATAAGTCTATAAAAGACTTAATGAATTTCCCCTTACGCCACTATGTATCTATCTAGTGTATCTAAGGGCTTAGTATAACTAACAGTACCTAAATATTTTATTAAGTCTGTGAATATGCAAATAGCCGGGACTTTTTCATTCACGAGATTATATAGTGTAGCTATTGCACCTTGCGTAGATAATCCCTCCTTGAATCCAAATTGATTTTTGTGCAATTGATTTTGGCGATGTTAGAAATTAATGATATATGATATACTACAGTCACCTCAAATGTGTTACCATTTTTATGCATCGGTATTATGTTAGCCGTACGAAAACATTCATTTATTATGTAAGTTAGCGGCTTGTAGATATGATAGCGTAGTTTTTTACTCTCAATTTAGCTTCTTGGGCTCCATTTGTATGAAGAATTCAGCTGACAGGCAATAGAACCACGCCCACTTTCTATTACTTAATTATACTCTGTAGTTTATAACAATTTATAACGTAATTGTGGGAGGTATATACATTTAAAACATTTTCCTGGAACAACAACGGTTGTTAGAATTTTCCTCACATTTCCTGCAACAAACTATCACAAAAGAAATTAAAGTGAACATTTTACCCCTGGTTAGCTCATTCGTCTCTATTTATTTTTCGAACAAGGGTGAAGCAGGAGCGCAATGGCCGACCCTGATTTTCGCCATTTCGCTAGGTGCCCTTATAAACCAGCGCGCATTAACACCATTATTTTCCTCTGCGTTTTCACTATAAAAATGAAAAACGGCGCATAATAATGTAGCAGCTACCTCTGTTGGCATCTCTATTTATATTCAAGGTTTTTTTGCATTTTCACTCACGCAAATAATGCGTGAATTATGGCCGCGACAGTGGCGGTTGAGATAGATCAGGAGACCTAAAATGGAAATTGAAGAAAGTAATTTGGAGACAAAATTTTCATACATAAGAACTCAAAGGCAAGAATAACTGTTCTCAGAGAGCGCATATATATGTTACAGAGCTTCGAACAGGTCTAGCAAAAATGCTTAAATAACAATAGCATACAGTTTAGGTAAGTAGTAAATTGCAGCAAAATACATTCAGGGTGGCCCATCCATGTGTGGACGGAATATTACTCATAAACAAATAAATTTTCGAAAAATCTATTTATGGCATGTTATACATGATACTTGAGGGGACATTTCTAAAATATTGGCAATTATACAGGGTGTCCCAATTTTGACCTACATATCAAAGTTGTGATTTTTTAAATGGAATGCCTCAAATTTTATTGCATATTTGGATATACCAATTCAAAAGAAGAAGATTGATATAACATACTATGAGGTTTTGGTAATTAGCTACTGAGATGTAAGGTGTTTTGTCCAGAAAAACCGTACACTTCTGCAACCCTCAATCCGCCATTTTGAAATTTGGAGTGCTGAATTTTGTATAACAATAACTTACGCACCTCAGCTTTTATCTTATTTATTACTTTTTCAAATTTTCAATTTTGCTCATACAGGGTGGTCAAAAACGCGAATTGTACTTTTTCTCAAAAAAGCTTTTTTTGGTATAATATTTGATTCAGATAAAATCACTAGATTTTGAGTTATTAAGCTTTTAATAGAACAGCATACCAGAATTAAGGAAAAAAATCACATCATCCATGGAAACAAAGGACAAATAGTGTGCTAGTTCCATATTGCTACTAAGACTAGAGAAAGACAACTATAACAACAACATAAACAAACAACTACCACTACTCAAGACCTAAGCTACAAAAACTGCTCAAAAATATCTCCACCATGTCTTTGGATAAATGACCGTTGCACATTCCTCAGCATGTGTTCCCTTATGTCCAGAAAAGCTTCCTTAATCCTTTCCTTCATATTTTCCTGGGTGATGATGGATGTTGGATATCTATAAACCTCTTGCTTAACGTAGCCCCATAGCAAGAAGTCTGTCGGTGTCATGTCTGGTGATCTAGGAGGCCAAGATATAGGCCAAGATATAATGCGAGATGCTAAGAAACTATTTCTTTAGGCTTCGCCCAAAACGAAAACCATATTCACCATTTCTTCTTTAGAAAAATTCATTTTCAAACACGTTTTTATTATAATGCTCACAAAGCTAATTTTGACAGTTTGTAACTGATCAACAATATATTTGTTTCTAAGGAGGATGCGATATTTTAGGGAATTAAGCCGTTCCATAAAAGACGTGCTAATAGCCGAAAAAATAGCCGTAAAAACCCTTTGCGTCTAGTATCAAAAAAAGCTTATAAAAAATTGAATCCAAACTTGCACAAATAGACAGGGTGATGAATTTGAAATTTTTGAGAAACACTACGATTTGCGTTTTTGACGACCCTGTATAAGCAAAAATTGAAATTCGAAAAAGTAATAAATAATATAAAAGCTGATGTGTTTAAGTTTTTTTTGGTATAAAATTCAGCACTTCAAATTTCAAAATGGCGGACTGAGAGGTTGCCGAAGACAAAACACCTTATATCTCAGTAGTTATTAACCAAAACGCCATAATATGTTATATCTATATGTCTTTTGAATTGGTTTATCCAAATATGCAATAAAATTTGAGGTATTCTATTTGAAAAATCACAACTTTGATATGTAGTTCGAAATTGGGACACCCTGTATAATGGCCAGTATTTTAGAAATGTGCCCTCAAATGTCATGTATAACATCCTGTTAATAGATTTTCCCAGAATGTATTTGTTTATGGGTAAAATTCCGTCCACACATGGATGGGCCACCCTGTAAATGAAATGGGCTGAAAGCATTTACGAATGATCTATGTTCAGCGCTGTATCTATTATACATTTATGAAAAAGGATATACCTTAGAAAGCCCCAAAAAAGTAATGTGAGTGATGGTACAAAAAATGAACGTTTATTAGTTTGATCGCTAAACCATGCTTGATGCAAATTTGGGCCTTGCCACAGGCAGATTCGGTGAAAGGGGTACATTTTAAATCGGATAATGCACTACCCCGAATCAGACCATTTTTCCGAGTAAATGCGAAGTTACTGACTGGATTGCTTGTGAGAGTGGAGCGCTAGGTCAAAAACATTACGCAGCATCTCGTTAAGAAGTAATGAATTAAACCAATAGTTCCAAGAAGGTTCTGCTAGATCGGGTACTGCCAACTACGAGCAGTGGTCTAAAATAAAGGTTTAGAAATACAGTATTATCGAGAAGGAGTCTCGGTCTAAAAAGCCTTATCTTTATTCAGAATTTAAAGGTTTCCTGAGATATTTTCCGGTATTGCTGTCAGTTTTAATAGCAATAATACGTTTTAATGGAACAAGACAGCACAAAGTGTCGGTAGGAACTGCATTCCAGTTCAAAGATGAGAGCCAGATCACCACTGTGTTTTTTTTTCTAATACTCCAACTACCACGAAGGCCTAAGGCCTAAACACCCATTGGGTTCCGTGGGGCTATAGAGGGATGCAGGGGAAAGGGGGAACGCCACACGGACTCTGGCGAGGGAACACGTGTGCATGCAACATGCACACATTCTGTCTCCGCCTACGAGATCCGCCGGGTAGTACCTCCGCTTTCGACAGTCAGAGAACATCTACCACCTACGGACAATCACAACATCCATAGCCAAGAGAAAAGTTTCTCCTGGGACGGGATTCGAACCCGCGCAGCGCACGGCGACTGATCGGGACACCGAAGAGTCTACTACTGCGGACACTGCTGCTGCCTACTCTGGTTCTATAGTTGATACGGTCTACCCGTCATTGAACAAGTTAGCAATATAGCTTTTATTTGTCCGACCACAGAGAGTTTGTTTAATGGCATGTATCTACTATTTCACCATAATGGGCGGCATCCAGTGGGCACAGCGGCGACCCGGCGGTCAAATGCGAGTCTCTCTCTCAGTTGTCGATTCTTTCGAGATATAGCAGTTTGTGCTGTCTTCACTCAGCTTTCGTTCCTGAGACCAAGCCTAGACTATGCTGATAAATTATCACATAGCACGAAACAGCTGTCCGTGCTTGGCCGTATGTGGTAGGATGAACTAGAGCTATATTCCTAGTACGATTTAACTAATATTGTTTCGCAACTTGCACGCTATCCTCCTGGATTAAATCTGATCTTGACGGGTGTATTTTAAGACATTTTCACCGAAAACTATTATAAATTGTTTCTAGAAGATCTCGCGTCAGATTCCTACTTAATAATCTCCTGAAATAACTCAAAAAACAGGTGCTTCATGTGAAAAAAATTATTTTGATATGATTGACCTTCAAGCCTACATTATACATATGTATAATATATATCTGAAAATTATATTAATAGCCTCCGCTTACGGTTTGTGAAAACATACTTATCTATCATCTAAAGTTTAGTCTCTGGTCTGTAAAATACATCCAATTCTAGCTTTCATATTCCAGATAAAATAAATTATTCAGTGACGTCAATGGCAAGTTTAGACGAAACGTATACTATCTTAAGAAATCTAGCTTTCTCATTTATTAACTGCAGTCAGCAACAAACTAATTTTTAGTATGACTCAGCTATGTAAGACATATACTGAGTGACAAAAAAGGTAAACTCCTACGTACCTTTATCCGATTTCAATAATTTTTGGTATATAGGTATGTCCAGTGTCCCTTAACAGTAAAATGATTAAATTTTCAGCAACCATCCTTCCATGCTTTTCAAACCGCTGATTAGCGATGGCTCGAGTATTACTGAATCTGTCCTCCTGAGCACACGCTCGTTGGCACTTGTCTTAAGCCAGGTTTACACGGTTCAAGTAAACGGTCAAGTTACTTGCCTTCGCACTTGCGTGGTTGCGTTCTACTTTACTTGATTCACAACTTGATCCAAAAAGCGAGTTTCCACGTAGGCCAGTAGATGTGCACGTCGACAGTTAAAAAGATGGTGGAAAGTCGTACTGCCATACGAAATTGTGTTATTAATCTCATAAATATTCCCCTGGAAGAACTGGAAGAAGTTTTGGAGGAAGAGAGAAATCCTGCAAAAGGGATATGGCATCGACAATGGCTTACACGGAGAGAAAGTCAAGGAGCTTCCACCAATTTAATGAGCGAGCTGAGATTCGAAGATCCTAAAGAATACAGAATGATGCTCAGAATGACTGCTGAAAAATTGTACTATTTATTAGGCTTAATAACTCCATTAATCCAACAAGAGGACACTATTATGTGAGACGCTATCAAACCAGAAACAATGTTGGAAGTAACCTTGAATAACCTAGCAACTGGTAATAATTGCAGAACCCTTTCTCATCTCTTCCGAGTTTATAAATCAGCGATATCTATCATGATTCCCATTGTTTGTGAAACTGTGAATGACTGCTTAAAGGATTTCGTACAGGTATGTGAATAGATAATAATAGAACATTTTTAAAATTTTATTTAGGCTTCTTAACAAAAAACAAACAAATTCAAATGTAACATTTAGTTTGTCAAGTTCAATGCTTGCGATATAATATCTCCTATAGCAGCATCATCATTTGCAACTGTGTCCTCGTTCATGACCGGGTAATTAGTGCTGTATACAGGAGGTGAATCCCAAGAAAGGGTTGGTGATTGAATTGCAGTTAATGCGGAAGCCTCAGAAACAGAACTGCTCTTATTTAACGCATTCAATCGTTTTTTTGTATTACTCTTTGAATTTCACCTTGCGCCATGATTGAATCAGCAGGGGGCAGTTTATTTAAACTGGCTGCAATGAACTTCATGGTCACTGATGGATTCAGAAGTTATTGTTTCCTGGACTTTTGGACCTCTGCAATAGCTGCGGTTTGTGCTTGTATCCGTACTTTTTTATTTTTTGATCCTGCTTCTACTCGCGAACCTATTTTACCAGTCGATTCTACTCGGGAGCACGTTTTGCTGGTCGAAGGTCTTATAGGAGTCTGCGAGAGATTTGGAGACGGTTCTTCAATGACTTGTTCTTCTAGTAGACCTTGTTTATTTTCGCTAGGTGGAGCGATTTGTGTCTCCTAAAATGAATGAAATAGTAATTTATTATTTCTCATTTGCTTAATAATTCATTTTTATTTTTGGTTTATTTTTTCAGGTTTCTGATACACATGATGCATGGAAAACGGTTGCGAATGGGTTTGAAGCAAGATGGAATTTTCCTTTCTGTTGTGGTGCCATTGATGGCAAGCATGTCTTGATCCAGGCTCCCCCGATGAAGAAAAAAAGATTTTCAATTACCGGCTTAGTCGTGCCAGAAGAATAGTGGAAAATGGTTCTGGAATCTTAGCGAGTAGATTTCGTGTTTTTGAAACAAAAGTAAAGATAAAAGTTTTCTCTGTGAATAAACTGGGTTAGTGCTGCAATTATTATTCACAACAGGTTACGAAAAACGCCACCAGATCAACACTTCAATAATGCACAATTGGTTGATTGTGAAAACGAACACACTGACGAAACAACAGCTGGACAGCGGAGATAAGAGATACAAGAACTGAGAAACATACATTGGGTACCTGAGAGAAGGGCGTCGGAGATAGCAAAACACATGCGAAACAAAATAAGGTATTATTTTATTTCTGAAGAAGGAGCAGTGCCTTGGCAACGAAATTTTATAAATTAGTTACCAGTTAAAAAAAAATGCACTTTTGACTTACTATGCTTTTCATTTCATTCTCAGCTGTGCAGCTATCCATTATTTCTTCCATTTGTCGGAACCACTTGACAGTTGGAACGTATATATCATCCGGTTTAACTCCTGATTTCTTAGACTTTTTAACCTTCAACGCTTCCTGGTTATAGGTTTTTCTCATTTTCTTTATTCTTTGCTTTAATTCTGCCACCCCAAAACCTTGCTTTTACATCCTGTTCACGATGTCCTCTTCAGCTGCTTTTCGCATGTTTTTATTACGATAATTTACACTACTCTTTATCCATAAACACTCTTTTTCACTATAGAGCTCAACAAAATGCATGGTTTCTTCTTATGACCACTTCATCTTGTACAAGTTCCACCTTAATTCACAATTTGTAGTACATCAAAATCACCAAAATTATTTGCTTATCTGTGATCAAAATGGGTAAAAAAGCAGAAGAAACACACAGTACAAATCCACAATCCATGCGCAAAAACTTATTTACTCTTGCTTTTTCTGTTTACATTAGTAAAGTAGACGGTCAAGTTGGCGATCCAGTGAAGTGGGGGTAGCAGTCAAGTAAGTCACTTGTTCACCGTGCCGAACCACTTGACATGCCTCGTCACTTGACGCAAGTCGCTACTTTACTTGACCGAAGTTGTTTAGACGATGCAAGTAGAAAAAAATACTTGACTGTACTGCTCAACTTAACCGTTTACTTGACCCGTGTAAGCCCGGCTTTATCGATAGACCGGCTTCACGCAACCCGACAATTCGACCCCGCTCAAAGTCATTTAGCTGGGACGCCTGGCGAATTCTGCGCACTCTAGGCCTTTTGAGCAATCACTGAAAGGCTTCTCAAAAAGCTAGCTAGACAAAATTTAACATTTAACTGACAAATATGTACGAAAACTGAATGCTTCTTTATCACCAAACAACACAGGCAGCCGCCACAAAAACTTGACCATTTCATCACTTGTTGTTCATAGCAAGATAAGTCGATATGGAAAAAATTCTTGAATTCCAATAAAGATACGTAGGTGTATACCTTTTTTGTCACTCAGTATATTTGTCATTACCGACATTTTTTGTAATCCCATTCAATGTAATGTCGTTATCGGAATTTTATTCAGTGTAGTGAATGGTAACTAATGTGCGCTGCCGGGACGGGTAAGACTTCAGTTATTCTAGCCTAACTTTGTAATCGTTCTGGTAAAGATATTGACAAGTGTATGACTATTCATTACAGACAACATTTTCAAGATCTAGGTGGTATGGCCGAGACATATTCTTGAGCCTTATGCTGAAATATGGTCATGATAATGATATTTTTTTTCACATAACATGTTTTTATAGCCACTCTCAGGCAAAAAACTCGACAATATTGTCCCATCGGCACTTCCTGCCCGAATTTTCAGATTCTCCTGAAATGCGCCATGCTTACGAACACCACTGAGCCGTTCGCTAAACCTCCCACCAGGTGGTGCTTGCAGCAGTATTTTTTTCAGCGTCATGGATATGCCTATGTACTTATATACATGGACAACCAAGTGGAAACCTATTGTTACTTCCTTTGTCTATTTTCGTCCTCCTTCACCTTGCTCATCACCATTCGTCTCTCATCGATTGGTTAAACATCAAGCCGCCTGCACTGGCAAAATTGTCAACAGTGAGCTTCTCGCTGAACGTCAAATCCAGCCGCTTTGGTAGTCTATTCGTTTACCACATCTTTCTCTACGTCTTTCCTAACTACTTCAGGTGGCTGTCAAAATAACCATGTCATTTGAGGAACTGTGCAGTATAATATTAAATAATATACCCGTACCGCTCCCTTGTCAATCAAAGGGTTTGATATCCGATAAAAATCAAAAGCATGAACAATTTGATGCAAATAAATCTCTGTAACATAATCTCAAAACTAGAGCGACTTTCTGAAGGACTGGAAAGACTATGAAAGTCTAGAAGGCCATTAAGGCGTCCTACAACTATAGGAACGACTGACGACACGGCCCTAAAATCGCTAACATATGATCATGGAGGTGGAAACTTTGCCTTGGAATGTACGAGATGCGCTGTTGCCAATAGTACCAATGATGCAATGTTGCAGAATTTTTGGCTATCTTGACCTTTCATTTCGACTTAAAATGAAGCGCTGTTAGGACCGATCCGGAATCCTTCCTAAAAAGATTCGACACAGTTCACAATTCAAGAATCTGTATGCCCAGAATAAAACCATTATTTGGGCGTTAAGAATAAACTAACGCATATTTTCAAAATGCCTCTTAATTCAAGGAACCGATGTAACATATTGGCAACGAGGCAGATTGCCGGCTCAGCGTTAGTAAGCAATGTGCACATACACATTGAACTCAAGCCGTCAGACAAATTTAGTTTTCAGTGTACACTGTACCTCGAAAATTTATTATAAGAATTTGGCTACTATCCTTTATTATCCTGTGTACATAAGCACAAGATGATGATGCTTTCCCTTGACACGCGTAGGATGTAATCTCATTTATTAAAAAGGTGTCAAGCTACACATTTTTTAAAACATCCACATCCTCTTCACACACTTCTCGTGTTTCTGCATATCATGTTGTAGATCACTGTTTGGGTTACGTACCCAATTTTCATCTCTTCCTTCGACCTTGTTTCCAAAAACCGCATCGTCACGAGCAGAGGCCAACGCGCAGAGTTCCCAAGATAGGCGTAAAGCAGCCCCACGTTTATCAGGATGTTTATCACGTTTTAATGTATCCCAAATAGTTGAATTTATCGATGAGGGTCGGTGCAATTTACATTAAATATTAATATATCAAGAATCTCTACTCTTACTTTACTCGGCAAGCAAAGGAGGGCTGGAAGTAAGAGTGATGTATCTTTATTTCTTCGTTGCTTAAACACGGTGACTAGCAGCTACTGATGGTATAATCACCAATTCATAGTCAACTCAATGGGCTACTGATGGCATTCGGACGTTGCTAGGATAATTACTGGATGCCCATAAATTAGGATTTTTATCTATACAGGGTGTCTCAACTTCGACCCTCACCATTGGGATCTCGGAAACGGTGTATTTAGGTAACTGACAAAATGCTGCTCAGAAAGTTTTGAAATCCAAAGAACTTCCGGGGAGACGAATTTTAACACAAAATGGAGTAAGTAGAATTTGAATATGACTTTTCATCCACCAGCATCAACTTTATTTTTTCTTATAGACGCCATATTGGATTTTTGCACATATAAGTAGAGTTTTTAATTCTGATTTCAAAAATGTATCATATGTTATATATTGAAATTGCTAAACGCTGGTTATTTAAAAAAACATAATTTCCTATGTAGGCGTTGAAATTATCAGATAGTTATTTGTTTTGTATACCAAATTCATTGCAAGATCATACTAAACTTAGCGGTGAACACTGTACAGAGAAACACTGTACAGAGAAGAGTCAGACTTTGCCTCGAAAATAACGTAAAACATCATCTGCTTATCTACCAGTTTCAATTCAAGGTGTATTTTTTCGACTTCCATATCCCACTTTGTTTTTCCATATGGATGCTATACTGGAATTTTGTATATTTATTTGGAGTTTACAGTCCTAGATTCAGAAATTATGAGAAAGTAAATAGATATGGTGAAACCTAAACACAAAATGCAAATTTTATTTCTGTTTATATATTTATTAATTTTAATTTTATTGATAGTGAGCATTTATACGCTTACTAATCAAAAGGGTAAATGCATAGATCAAAATATTTTGAAACGGGTGATTTTTTAAGAGGTATAGGATTTGATTTTCAAAAAAACTCAAAAAAATTGTAAAAACGATTAAATCTTTATTTGAGTCGACAGAACGGTCGATATAATTTGATGTTTAAAGATTATTTCATGTAAATGTTGGCCGCGGCTCCGCTTGAGATGGCCCATGCGCAAGGTCCAATTTTGGCACACTCTCTCCAACATATCGGCCGGTACCTCACGAATAAATTTTTTTTTTATATACTCCAACTACCACGAAGGCCTAAGGCCTAAGCACCCATTGGGTACCGTGGGGCTATAGGGGGATACATGGGAAAGGGGGGACGCCATACGGACTCTGGCGAGGGACACGTGTGCATGCAACATGCACACATTCTGGCTCCGCCTACGAGAACCGCCGGGTGGTACCTCCGCGTTCGACAGTCAGAGACCATCTACCACCTACGGACAATCACAACATCCATAGCCAAGAGAAAAATTTCTCCTGGGACGGGACTCGAACCCGCACAGCGCACGGCGACTGATCAGGAGACCGAAGAGTCTACTACTGCGGCCACCGCGGCTGCCTAAAACAAACACACAACATCCATGGCGAAGGCGAGATTCGAACTCGCGGCCCGGCCGGCCGGCTGATCAGTAGCACGACACTCTGACCCACGCGGCCAACCGAGGTCCCAAATGCTTCAATATTGGCTTCCAGTGCGTCAATCGTTGCTGGTTTATCCCTGTAGATATTAGCCTTAACATGGCCCCACAAGAAATAGTCCAACGGCGTTAAATCACACGATCTAGGCGGTCAATTGACGGGCCCCAAACGTAAGATAAACAGTTCACCGAACTCGCCTCTCAATAGGGCCATTGTTTCCTGTGCGATGTGGCATGTGGCACCGTCTTGTTGAAACCACATGTCAGCCAAGTCCAGCTCTTCCATTTTGGGCAAAACAAAGTTTGTTATCATCGCACGGTAGCGCTCGCCATTCACAGTTACGTTCCGGCCATTGTCGTCTTGGAAGAAGTACGGCCCGATGATGCCACCGGCCCATAATCCACACCAAACAGTGATTTTTTCGGGATGCATTGGTAGCTTTTGCAATGCTTCTGGCTGGTCTTCACTCCAAATGTCGCAATTTTGCTTGTTAACGTACCCATTCAACCAGAAATGAGCTTCGTCGTTGCACACAATTTTTCGATAAAAATGTGGATCCTCCTCCAACTTTGCCAGCGCCCATTCACCAAATTGGAAACGTTGTGGGAGGTCGTGTCGCTTCAATTCTTACACCAGCTGTATCTTATAAGGTTTTACACCCAAATCCAAATTTTCCACGTAGTGGAGTAACAGAGGCCCAATTGCTGCGAACGGCGGCGAATCGACATTTCACGGTCATCACTAACACTGGCGGATACAGCCGTAATATGTTCTTCAGTCCTCACTCTACGTCTGCATGTTGGTGGCTTAATGTCCAATAATGTAAACTGGGTTCGAAATTTAGTCACAAGCTTCCGAATACCTCCCTGAGTAGTAGATTCACGTGTCATCTGTCAAAAATAGTGTTGCCAAAAAGATACTAGCAAAAAAATCACCCATTAGAATGAAGATTTGGAAAGATTCATCCACTGGTGATTTTTAATGACCTTTTCCTTCAAAACCATTTGAAAGACAAACACTTTCTTTGAATGAAATCGTTATTTCTGACTCCAGAAGTGTAAAGAACGGGAAGTTTTACATTGAAGTGTGTCTTTGCTCCTGACCTTGACCATTATCTTCATGAGCATTTGATGGTGTCCAGAAAGTAGGGAAGGACAAATTGTCCTGAAAAATACGTTTCATAAAGTAAAATGCCGGTTAATAAAGATGTAACGGTTGCAAGGTGTCATCTCATAGTGGAAACATTTAACTTGCGATGTGTTATTTTCAAGCCCAACACAGGTTACTTTGCTGAACTTCATCAAATAGTGGGACGTTTCAAGTGCTTACTCATTTGAAGGTAACAATGTTAGACATAATAAGAACCTTGAGATATGTCATTTATA